CACCCAGCACTCTTCCCTGCCTATGCAGGGGGTCAGACTCGATGATCTCAAGCAAATCCCGGGACGTCTCAAGCAAATCCCGGGACGTCTCTCAAGCAAATCCCGGGACGTCATTCTCCCCCTGTACTCGGCCTTAGTGAGGCCGCAGCTGGAGTACTGTGTCCAGTTTTGGGCTCCACAATTCAAAAAGGATGTGGAGAAGCTTGAGAGAGTCCAGAGAAGAGCCACGCGCATGATCAGAGGTCAGGGAAGCAGACCCTACGATGACAGGCTGAGAGCCCTGGGGCTCTTTAGCCTGAAAAAGTGCAGGCTCAGGGGTGATCTGCTGGCCACCTACAAGTTTATCAGGGGTGACCACCAGCATCTGGGGGAACGTTTGTTCACCAGAGCGCCCCAAGGGATGACGAGGTCGAATGGTCACAAACTACTTCAGGATCGTTTCAGGCTGGACATAAGGAAGAATTTCTTTACTGTCCGAGCCCCCAAGGTCTGGAACAGCCTGCCACCGGAGGTGGTTCAAGCGCCTTCATTGAACACCTTCAAGATGAAACTGGATGCTTATCTTGCTGGGATCCTATGACCCCAGCTGACTTCCTGCCCTTTGGGTGGGGGGCTGGACTCGATGATCTTCCGAGGTCCCTTCCAGCCCTGATGTCTATGAAATCTATGAAGGGTCTAATTTCAGCATCCTCCCTTATTAAAATTTCCCCCCTCTTGACTCAGCTAGCAGGTTTATCGGAGTAAAGATTGAACAGAGGTGCAGCTTTTGTCCTAGAAATAGAAAGATCACTATGGGCATGTCTACACGTCTTTACATGTGCCTAATGCACATTAACCTAATGCACATTAAGGCAATTTAGGCACATGTCTACATATGCATGTGCTAACACGCATTAATGCAGGTGTGTGGACCAACTTGGGACTAAAGCTAGTCCCAAGTCAATGGACACACACCACATTAATGTGCATTAGCGCCTTTACGCATTCACTAATGCCATTTAGTGCATAAATTTGATATCTTTATGCAGGTATCAAATTTAGGCTCAAATACCTTAAATCATCATTTTTAGGGGGCATTAAGGGTGCACACGTGTATTTGCGTGCCCTTAATGTGCCTTAAATTGGGCTAATGCAGATTAAATGTGTACTTGTAGACACACCCTATTACTGTAACAGGAACCAAGTCAATTGAGGACTATAATTCTGGAGGCTATAATTCTGAAGTTTCAGTTTACTCTAATCACCTGTAAAGTCAGTTTCATTATACAGGCAGTCCTGGAATTGAGCAAACCTTTTATAGTTCATGAGTGTATTATCTAGAAATTATTCACACTATTCACTGGTAAGCATACCCAAAATTTTGTCTTCAAATAAATGATTCATTGGGCCAGGAGAATGCAGTAGGAACCATGATGGTGCTCACCTGGGCAGGTGGAGTCCTGCTCCCTGGTTTGTTTCTATATTTTATCCAATAGCCATTTTCAGTAAAATGCAGAAAGTCCAGAAAACAACCCAGGACTCTCCATCCTAGGTGAGTGTCTTAACCAGCAAGCTCCCATTCCCCTAGGTCTCTCCTGGCCCAATTTATCTTTGTTTTTTTTCTGCACAGTCGCATAGTATTAACAGGAGGGATGAAGAATGCCTATTCCCAACTCAGAACAGCTTCTAACCTAGTGGGCAGAATACTGTCCTAGGCGGTGGGAGTTGTGGATTTTAATCTCCTCAGGCTGAGAAGGGCACTAAAACCAGTTCTCTTGCATTCTCACCCAGTGCTCTAACAGCTAAGCTACTATATAAAATGTAGATCATGTTGGTCCCTCTTCTTCCAGGCATGTTTTAAAAGAGTGAGTGCTGCTCAGACCTACAAAAGCAAGAGTGTAGACACACACCTTCAAGAGAGAGTTCTAGGTTGTGGATCCCAAGCGGAACAAGGCATCTTCCTGTCATCCCAGATCAGTTGCCTGAATTCCAGAGTGTTTTCCATGGTCTCATTTTAGGTAGCTCCCTGTTCAGTATGCTGGCCATGTTGGGTCCCATCTGGAGGCACTTAGCACTCTCTGTATGTATGCAGTCTATACAAAGCCTAAGTAGCTAACACAGGGTTATGAATTCCATGCTGGAGTGCTGTAGTACTTAAATTTAAGGTGCACAAGTCCTTAAAGGTGTACTTTTCATTTCCATTTAGGTTATTCCCAAACACAGAGAAATAAAGGCCCTTTTGTGCTCTTTTTACAGTGCTTCAGCACTGATCAAACTGGAAACATTTTTCCTCTACATGGAGTTGTATATGGGAATTTAATTGCAGTTCATCTCGTCTTCATTTTATTTATGTACCTTACCAGAATTAAACTCCTTGCCATAGATGGTAACTTTGAGCCAAGTGTCCCTCTTCTGCTGCAAATATAGAAAAATGGAATGATGGGATGTTATGGTACTCTAGCTTCTGAATCGGCTGTCTTGCTGGAGAAGAGGGAAGTCTGGAGTCCACCACAGAGGGACTGGCTCTCTCTGCAGATGCTACAGCCCCTGCAGTATTGGCAACCAGTTGTTTCACTTATCCTAAAACTTCACAAGGTTTTAGAGAACATCTCCTCTTCCCCTTCATGAAGCAATAAATGTTTTCCCCAAAAGGTTTCTTCTTAGGGTAGACAAAAGAATATAGGCCTTGTTTTCAGAAGACTGTGCTCTATATTAATACACATTATGTTCTGCACAACACAGGCAAACTAAACCAAATTTAATTTGCATTCAAATAGCTAGAATATTTTTCCAGATCATGACTCTTTCCTGGTAATACTGGTGTATCAACTCTGATGGCAAGCTAAAGTGTCTCAGCTATGCTTTTGTACTGATTTTTTTCTACCATGTCCTTAGCTACGTGTATAAATATGGTTGTAGAAATCCTATGGTGTGATTGCACATATGTAAGTAATGCACCATCAGCAATAGTCATTCATTTAATATTTTGAGCTTTAAGCAGAGAGATAACAGGAGCACTGTAAAAATAGATATGTCACAAGTTAATAGAATCCTGGTCAATGGTGTTGAAGAATAGATGGTACAGGTGCTGCGTGATGAATATTGCTTCTTGTTTTGCTTTATTGTGGTGTCCTTAATCATTATTGTTTTAAAACATTTTGATTAATTTGTTTTCCACTGAGTATTTACTTTTTCCTCTTTGTTAGGTCTATTACTCAAAATAACTAACAGTGGGAGGGAATGGGTAAAATAGAGCATGGTGTTCCAGTTGTGGTACAGCCAGAAAATAGCTCAATAGAGATCAAAGTGAAATGAGCGAATAAAGTAATGGAAGCACCTTTTCATTTAACATATAACAAACAAGTCATGAAGAGTAATCTTTTATGGTAATAACTCAGCTTTAAAAGATTGCATCATTTCACCCATAAGCCTTGCTGCTGTTATCATAGGATTTTACTTTCAGAAGATGCAAAGTGCCAAGTATTCAGTATTTCTTGTTTGAGGACACTATGCTTGAGTGTCCTCAACACCTGCGCAAGAAAATTCCTTGTTGAATCAAAGCCTTAAGTATGTTTACTTTTAAGCATGTGAGTACTTCCGTTCAAGTCAACAGGATGTCCATGGACTTAAATTTAGACACATATTTTCTGGTGTCCAAGATACATCAGTGTATAAGTTAAGCCATCCACCAAAAGATAAATTTGTGCCTTCATGCTCCCACCCACCCACCTGAGGGAAGGATGGCAGTATCTTCGTGCCCACCCAACCACCAACCTGGTCCTGGACTCTCATTGGCTCATCAGGCTTTTCTTCAAGATGCCTGTGTTTAATTTCAGTAATCTATTCTTTTTTCTAAGAGCTCCTTTTTGCAAGGAAAACATGTCTTATCTACTGGAAAATATAATATGTATGGAATCAGGACCTTAAAGGCTAATCAAAAGCCCACTGAAATAAATAAGAGTGTTTCCATTTAATTCAATAGAATCAGGAGTAACAGGGATGAAGGAGCTGATCACTTGGTATGGAGCATGGTCCTGCTTGTGGGTTACTCCTGTGTACCCTGGGTGAAATCAAAGAGCCTACAATGAAAGCTGTTAGTTAATGCTATTCTAATATCAGCATTAAACATTGTGATTACAGGTTATATACAAGCCTGCAGAGGACTCATGATAGCTGCTGTCAGTCTTGGATTCGTTGGTTCCATATTTGGACTGGTTGGGATGAAGTGTACAAAAGTTGGAGGCTCAGATCAGACTAAAGCTAAAATAGCTTGTTTAGCTGGGCTGATTTTCATACTTTCTGGTAAATATGAAACTATAACTATAAATCTGCATGTCTGAAACCTTATCAGATCTGATTCTATTTCCAGTTAAATCAATAGCACAACTCCCTCTGATTTAACTGCCAGCAGGTTCAGGCTGCAAAGTAATATACTGATGCCCATGAATGACTTGTTCATTTGATGTGTTTTAGGGTTGTGCTCTATGACTGGTTGTTCCCTGTATGCAAACAGAATCACATCGGAATTCTTTGATCCTACTTTTATTGCACAAAAGTAAGTACTTTTACGCCCATTAATTTTTCAAACAAATTAGGTTGTAAATTGGATAAAATACATACTGAAGTAAATTTGTAAAGGAATTGGATGCTCCAGACCAGGGCTGTCACACTTACCTGTGGCCAGATCCACAGGGTCAGTGGCTGCAACACTGCCAAGTCCAGCAGCAAGGGTCCAGGGGTCCAAGGTCTGGTGGTAGGGCCCAACTGCCACAGGACAAGCACGGGCTATGTCAGCGCAGCCCTCATTCACCCTGCTGCTGCCAATGGCCATGTCCAGTAGGGTCCAGGGACCTGGAATTCTGCAGCAGGCAATGCCTTCAATTTCCAGTAGTCCAGCAGGCAGGATACAATGTCTCTGTGGGCTGTATCTGGCCTCCAGGCCAGGTGTTTGACTCACCTTCTCTAGACAAGAGACAAATATGAGGTCTGTAATTATGTTTCACTATATTATTCAAACTTAAACTACCAAGTTGTACATACTTCAGGAATTTCATGAACTAACAAAAGCAATTACTTCTGACAAAAATCTTTGCAAATTACTTATAAAGTAACTAATATTTAATCTCTGTGTAAAGGCATAATGTTATAATTGTGTACTACAACTACTGCAGAGGATAAATTCAATTTAGCTAAGCTGATTTTTAGGTCTACATTTGTCACTGATTCAGTTGTCATTTATTCCACTTTAGTACACCTGCCCACACACAAACCAGTTGCTCTGTACAGAGGAATTATCCAAAATAAAGTTTGAACTTTAGATTTTAATTATAGGGAACTGTGCTTCAAGCAATATATTTGTTTCATGTAAGGGAAGGTATAGCATGCCTCTTCCTCTGCAACAGTTTAAGTAGGGGGCTTTGCAGACAAGCTTTTACTTACTTCTCTCTGCTGTATATTGATTAATCTCTCCCAGGACAGAGAGGTGGATATAAAGCCCCTCACATGGAGAATTAGGAGTAAAGACAGGAAGACCTAGCAGTAACAGTCTAGAAACAGTGGGTGTTTTTACACATGCTCCGGGGTGGGAGGGATGCTTTAATTAGAGCAGCTCTGAGAACCACTCTAATTAAAGCTCCTGCAGCATCTCCTGTATCAGCAGCCCCACACTTGAAAATGGCGGCAGGGGATATTTAACTAAAACTCATTGAACTAAAGCTCATTTTGAAGCACAGGAACACTGATGCATGACATGTGGAGGCTCGCTGGAGTGTAATAATTAGCATGCTCTAGCAGACTCGATTAATCAAGCCTGCTTTGACATGCTGTAATAATAGTGCATTGGAGCAGGTTTCAAGATTAATCTTATGCTGAGTTGTATGTTCTGCTGTGACAGATATGCATTACCAAATAAACTCCAGAGGAAGGTAAAAGCCTGCCCCTTATATATGTCAACTAACTGGAACAAGATGGGGCAACTACCATCTTGCAGGCAAGACCAATTTAACTATTCCTAAGGCATATCCAGTACATGAGTACCTAAGCTAGTCAATCTTTCTCTGTCTACAATAATGATGTTTCCAAAACTTGTACTGGCATCTTATTCTACTGAATGACTACTGCTAATAAATATTTTTCTGATGGATTCCCTATCTGTTCAATACAGTAAGCTGTATTCACTTGGCTCTTCCTATTGACTAAAGAGAATAATTGATCTAATTCTTTATACAACTTCTTTTGCCATATTTGTAGAGAACTGTCTGCCCTTAGCCTTCTTTGCTCTAAACAAACCATGAACTGTTCTCTGAGCCTTTCCTCATCTGTCTTGCCAGCCTTTGAACTTATTTGGCATGAGAGATACCATGATCAACAGTTTTTCCTAGGGTGAGGTCTATCCATTGCACTCAGGGCAGGCCGACTTCTGTGAGTTTCCCAAATGCAGAAAACTGCATTTGTACTTTCCCTCGACTTGCTCTTTCAGCCTTTTGGCTAGTAGCCAGCATGAGTAGGGGACATCTGAACCCCGACGTCTTTGGCCTGCACACAGGATGCCTGCCATGGATTTGAGGAGTATCTGAAGTCCCAGACTGATGAGTCTGGGAGGAAGGAGACTTGCCCAGTGGTAGAACCACATGCAGACTTGAACAGCTGAGCTCAGCTCAGTCGATTTGGAATCAGAACTAATATAGCCTTAAGCCCCCAAAAATGTACTGTATATAAATAGTTACAACAATGCTGCTTAAAAGTCTGTTTATGGAGTACCTATGCTGAAACTTGCTGCGGTTTTAAAAAGGGGTAAAATACATCAATTCTGGGTGAATCTAGTCTATGGGTACTATATGCAAATTACTACCACTGTAATTATTTCAAGGTCAGTGTTTCAAATTTGCCTCTCACTTCCAAGTACTCCAATTCTGAGAAAGCAGGTCTTGACAATAAGGAGGAGAGGGGGAAAGCGGTGCAAGGGGGAAAAGCTCACACGAAGCAGAGGGCAAGGGAGCGATCCCCCCCCCCCCCCCCCCCCCATTTATTTTCCCTGCTGCAGCACAGGGAGGGGGGACAAATTCAAGAATTCAAGGCAAACCTCCAATAATTAGATTCTCTACCTGGAAAATTAGAATTAATTTATAATTTTTCCATTTTTAGAATCTCATCTTATGTTTCAGTAAACATGGTATCTACTTCTTTTGGCATTTATCCTGTGCAAACACTTTTAGGTGGTTTTTGGTTCACTGTGCATAATTTTTAAGACTCATTGAGTTAAGCTCTGCCTTTTTTTTTATTCTAATCCTTTATTAGGGGTGTGGTGGCAGAGTAGGTAAGTATGGGTCATGCCCTGCTCTGAACTCGTATCAAAGGCCATCCCCAGTTTACATATCTATAAGTAGCACCTAGTCATTCAGGTTACAGTCAAAGGCAGCATTTGTGGTGTTAGCCACATCATTCTCTACTTGCTTCAGAAACTGGTATGCTTTAATCCCACTAACCCCGTGGACTGTTAGGTACAGGTGGACCTTTGACTTGACATTTGTAATCATTTTATAGTTTTTCACTGACCTTCTTGCAGCTTTTTTAGCAAACATCATTATTACATTGTATTGAACAGACTCCCATTGAAATCAATAGAAACACTGTCACTTCAGTAGGAGCTGAGTCTGGGCATGGACATATACATTTGGAAATGTTTCAAAAGGGCAGCAGCTGTTACCTTCTAATTGTTATAAGTGGGCAAGTTGGGAACAACACAAATATAGCAGAACTGCTCTGACTTCAAGACTGGATGAAGCAATGTTAGCACACAACAGCTGCTTCCCTTTTGGAACGTTCTTTTTTAAATGGCTCCAAATGTACGAGTATCCATACCCTAAGGCTTTTTTAGAGCAGGTTTCTAAGGATCCTAGATCCCGTTTCATACAACTACTCTTAATAATAAAAACGGAAGAAAAGGAAAGGAGAAGAGAATTGTTTTTAAAGAAACATTTCAGTTTTTAGCCCAAGAGCTAGCAAAGTATGTAATGGGCTTTAATAGAAAGATAATGGAGTTAGGGGAAAATAAACTTTGGGTTAGACATGAAACAAGCTTAGGAGCACCAGTGATGAGCATGACTAACTGCTTATGGCACTCTCCTGGGAGGGGAGAAACCAAGGTTAGGAACTCTGCTGCAAGGCATCTTGCTGTAGTGTTTCCATGTCTTTGAAGCAGGGACTGGAACCCAGTAATCTCTAGGCTATACAGTTCTTACTTTCTCTTCCTCTCTTTGGCACAATGAATCTTAAATATATTTTGCAGTGCAATGAAACAACTTCAACAGGCGTAATAGAGAGCGTGCCTCCCCACCAACTCATTTTGGCTTGCAAAAAGAAAACCATAGGTTTGAAAATGCTCAAGCCTGCAGAGACAGCATTTGTGGGTTTATTATTGTTGGTTTTCTAATGATGTACATAGCACATGTCTAAAATTATTTAGCAAAACGTGAAGTTCTTTAGTTGGTCTCAATGCATCAGGAAGAACATTACAACCAATCTACAAGCTAAATTATAAGTCCAGTAAATGCATATTTATTGTTTTCCCACAGGTATGAGTTAGGAGCAGCTTTGTTCATTGGATGGGCTGGATCATCACTTTGTATAATTGGTGGCAGTATATTCTGCTTCTCAATAGCTGAAAACAACAAAACCCCAAGGTACAGAACAAAAGGTTGCACTTATTTTGCAAAAAAAACCCACTACTGGCAAATGGGTGATAGTTAAGGCATAGAGAGGTAAATTTTAAGTACATGGCTGAAATTTAATTACTGTCCAAAAGAACTATGAAACTAGGCAAAAAATGGCATGAAGGAAAGAGAATCGGGATTTAAAGTTAACAAGTCTTTTTAAAGTGCCTGTACTATTGTTAAAGAAAGCCACTGTTTTCTATTACTTGTACTGTATTTACCAGAATCCAAAACTATGTCACATTTAAGAGACACTCCCCAATAATTAGATTTTACACATGTAAAGTTATAAATGTTATAATTTCCAGGTATAGAATCTAATTAGTAGAGGACCATTCTAAATTTGTCCCCAGCCGCAGCAGGGTCAGTAGCCTGACCCTTGCATTTTGCTCCCCTGCTGCTTGCCTCCCCCCCGGCCCCCACAGGTGCCTGTTCCCTTTCCCCCCTGGCAGTTACTCCCTCTGCATCCCTGCTGCCTGTCTCCTCGACTCAGTTCCCAACCCTTGCTGCTGCCTGAACCCTCACTCAGGCTGCTGTCCCGTCCCTGACTGGATCCCCCATGGATACTACGATCTCATCCCTGGACACACTGCTACCGCATCCCCTAACCTGTTCCCTATGCCCTGACCCACATTTTTGATGGACAGCAGCTCAGGGGCACACTGCTTCATACTTTTATGTATGAGTTGTAAATACATAGTTCTCTTTCAGGATGGGGTACACATACAAAGGAGCCACATCTGTGATTTCCTCTCGGACAAAGGCCCACAGTAACACAGCAGACTTTAAACTGCCCAAAGACTCTCCACGGCACTTTGACAAAAATGCTTATGTTTAACTGTACTATCCTAAGAACCAGAGCCAATTTTTAAATCAGTTTGTACAGTTCGTTTACAGAGTTATTTCCAGAAGAGTATCGAAGCAATTGCCACCAGAACAATGAATTTTTTAAATATTATCTTGCAGGATTTTACATGTTGATATCAATTTTCTTATACAATGTTTTAAGAATTATATTGGTGGTATACATAAAATTCATAACTGTAAATCACTTGCTGATGTAGCCTTGTATAAAAAAAATAAATGGGATATTTACAGATACTATATGTCAGATTCTTTGTATGGTATCACGTATGCAATCTCCAATGCAGTACATTGGAGCAGCAGCATAGAAATGAATTCTGAAACAGGTCAAGTACTGGAAAAAGCAGTCAGGTTTTGTGCATTTGTGCAGCTTCAGAACTACTAACTTACCTTGTAACTCCAATGGAAGTTAAGGGGTGCTGAGTGGGCTTTGTACGGCTGGCAATCTGGTCTTAATTTTTGAGCTAAAACACCATGGAGCAAAGGGCTAAGGTGTAAAGGAAGGTAGAAGATAATGAATCCCATACCACTGGAACAGGCTGGGGAGCGGTTTGGGTACAGCAAGCTAGGGGAACTAGGGTTGGCTAGGGAACCTAGATAAATCAGATCTGGTCAGGCTAATTGTGTCAGGCACAGACTCTGAGAGAATAGTGTGTTGGGAGTGTGAGGAGAAAATGGGACAGGGTACGAAGAGCAGAGTAAGAGCACAAAGTTCTCTCACCTGAAGGGATTATGTGAAGGACAACACAATAGTTTTGAATAGGCTCCTCCATTCTGCCTCTAACCCACTTCAGCTCCCATTTATAGCTTTCTCCTAGTTTTCCTCCAGCCTACCCTTTCATACTTACCCTCTCTGCAACATGGTTGCCCTTTTGCTCTTCACCCCAAAGCTGGCAAATCACTTATTCTGGCAATTGTTCAATCCTGTTCCAGATTGGCTGGGTGTGATCAGACATGTGACACTGCAAACAGGAGAAGCCATTGTAGGAAATAAAAACTAGCCACTTGCTGCAGTCTTGCTGTTTGCATAAATTTCCAGAAAGGCTACAAGAATGCTTGAAAGGATTGCCAAATGTGTGGATGTCACATGGACTATGATATAATTAATAATCCAGATTTATTTAGAGTCTATGAATAACCACAGAATGTGTTTTGGTCTGAGTCACTATAACGGATTAGTTTCTGGTCAGAATCAAAGCCAAATCTTTCTTGAAGTTTGGATAGACAGACCCTCAGTTTCACTGAAGTAGTATGCAATGTTGGCTCAATTTATCCTCATTATTAGTTTAGCATATCCTCTACTCATTACTGGCTTAGCAAAGGAAAAGAAAGGCAAGTATAATATTGCAGTTAAATAAAAGATAATAAACTTTTTACAACAGTAATGATCACAAAAGTTTTTCTTTTAATTTAGTGCTTTTATCTATTTAAGTTTTAAACAGTTAAGTCTTTATTAAATGAAGGCAGCTAATAACAGTAAATTAGTACAACTGAATACAATACAAAAACAAAAAAGTGTTCCATGCCACACATACCATTCTTGCTCTAGTTTGAGTTGTCCTGTTATATTTTTCCAAATTTTATTTTACTGTGAATACACATTAAAAACCTATTCTAACAACTAAAGCAGAAACACCTTCCCAATACTGAGTTTTAAGGCATACTCTAGAAACAACTCTGTAAACTATGTCATTTTTCAGCTTTTGATGCTCACTGGAAACCATGTTGGAAAATGTTAACATTTTAATTTTAAGAAATACTTTATTTAAAATACTTACATTTTAATATAAAGCTTGGGACAAAATACAAAAAATACATTTTAGAAATGCTTTAAAATACTGATCTAGTAACACTGCAATAAACTCTGCCTATTGGCTAATACTTCTGGGCTTCTTTAACAGCTGGTCTTAAAAGCAAACATTAGAAGTGAACGCTTGGCCCAATTAAGACAATGGAAATTCTGCACAGGAGCCAACAGGGCCAAGAATTTCTCCCAGGTTTCTAAACTGTGAGGACTAGTCGCATATATTTAAACATCCTTCCATACAATTCAGGGTTAAACACCATCAGATTCTCTTAAACAAATCTTCCTGGTTGTTAATGTACAATACAAAGAAAACCCAGGAGTCAGAATCTTTTAGACCAGGACTGTCCAGCTGCGAGGGGTTGATTGTGGCCCCTAGGCCCAGCCAGCACTTCCCCTATTACCCTGGTTGCTGCTGCTATTCCCCCTCCCTAAGTCAGCTTTTGGTTCCTGCTCCTGCCCCAGGGGACAAGGTGGGGCAGTACAGCCCCAAGCACTGGAAGTGCTCTGGTGCAGTGCAGCAAGGGAGCTGAGGAGGGAGCTGCCTGCCTATGCGGTTCATTGGTGTCTATGTGGGGGAGAGGTTCAGCA